AAACCATGGTAAGATTATGAAAGATTTCAAATCATTCTAGCACACGAGAAATCACGTTTTATAGCATGTTGATGACCAACAATTGTTTCTTCTCCGGAGTTATATGGCCCAGTTAAATGGCCCCGTGCTCGTTACATATCCTCCCCAACGCTTCGACACAAAGCTGGAGACGCAAGTGTACCAAGTGGGATCCTGGGAAGTACCAAATTTTCATCTCCACAGTAGAGCACGTCATTTGCGGAGGGGCATCTCCCGGGTAAGTGTTTCTCGACTATTGGCTGGGACCGCATCTGTGATCTGTCCAACAAAAATGATGGGAAGGATTGGACGATCGCTCATCTGAAGAACCACTAGTTGTTATATGAACGGAGCACAAGCTTCTGTTTAAATTGCTCCGATGCTCTGGAATTCAGTATGATTTGAACAACGAGGGTAGAATTGAAGCGGTAGATTGGTGGTGGAAGCATAAATTGAAGGTATTATGATCTGCCCGTAGTTTTATTCTCCCCATTATTGTTGTTATATGATTGTGAGGAGAAAATGATGGCAGGTTGCCACAAAAAACATATAATTTTTCAAAGTGATCGTTGACTACTTTTTTAAAAAAATCAAAAATTTGTAAAAATCTTAAAACCATTGAAAACCTAAAATTGTCCCTGACATTTTCACTCTCAAACTGATGTCTGGAGAAAGAAGGGAAAGAAAAACAAGGAAACCGACAAGTTTTTCTTGGGAGGAAATCGATCGACCACTAATAGAAGCGAAGAAAGTAAGTTTTGCATAATTTTTCCCCATTAATGTGTGTTGAAGATTTATTTTGTTGGAAATAGTGGTAAAAATCTTTTTATAATATGTAAAATTAGTAAAAATCAAGTTTTTTAAGGTTTGGTTGCCGGAGATCGTCGGAAATGGTGATCTCTGGGCATAGAGGCCGTCTCTTGCAGACGGCCTGTGCGAGGAAGAAGACGACACAGCCGTCGGTGTCGTCTGTTAATAGACGGCCCGGCTGCTTGTTACTGTTGTTAAATTATCTAAAAATAATTATTTAATTATTATTTAAATGATAAAAGAAAAATATAAATAATGAATAAATGTTAATAATCAAAATACGCAATTAAAATTTAATTACAGATTACTTGAAAGAAATTTAACCTTTTAAATAAATAATTAAATTTTTTACGTTCACTTGTTCAATAAATAATTTAAATAATCAAATAATTTAAATGAACAATTGAAATGAAAAATCATTGGAATAAATAATTAATTACTCACAAAATTAAATAATGAACATTTAAATAATAATTAAATGATAAATAAATAAATATTATTAATCAAAATACGCAATTAAAATTTCATTGATACAAGTTTCTAACATTTGAATTAAATAATTACATTTGCTTGTTCAATAAATAATTTAAATAATCTTTCCAAATAATTTAAATGAACAATTGAAACAAATAATGAAAAATAATTGGAATAAATAATTAATTGAAATGCACAAAAATAAATAATGAACATTTAAATAATAATGATAAATGAATAAATGTTAATATTGAAAATATTAATTAAAATTTAATTGAAATAAATTTCTAACATTTGAAATGAATAATTAAATATTTACCTTTGCTTGTTCAATAAATAATTTAAATAATCGATTCATATAAGTAATTAAATCAAATAATTTAAATAAACAATTGAAACAAATAAATGAAAAACAATTGAGATAAATAATTAATTGAAACACACATAAATAATTAATGAACATTTAAATAATAATTAAATGATTATTTAAATGATAAATGAATAAATGTTAATAATCAAAATATTAATTAATGTTTAATTGAAATAAATTTCTAACATTTGAAATAAATAATGAAATATTTGTGTTTGCTCTTGTTCAATAAATAATGTAAATAATCGACCAATATAAGTAATTAAATCAAATAATTTAAATGAACAATTAAAACAATTAACTGAAAAATAATTGGATAAAAACAATCAAAGTAAGTAATTAAAATGTAGGTAAACAATTGAAATAAATATCTAACATTTAAAATAAATAATTAAATATTCGTTTAATAATTAAAATAAATATTGAATAAACAACAAAAGAAAAATATAACAAATAATTACATATTTACGTTTAAATGTTCAATAAATAATTTAAAGAAAATAATTAAATATACAATTACAATAAATAATTAAAATTAAGCATTCAATAAACAATTAAAATAAATGTTAAAGAAACAAATAAATAATTGAAATAAATAATTTTGATAAACAATTGAAATAAATAATTAACATTTAAATAAAAATAAAAAATTTAAATAAGTAAGAAATATAAATTTTCAAAATAATTTATATGTAATTAAATATAAATAATCAAATTTAATTAAATAAAGAATTGAAATAAATTTCTAACATGGATTAAAATAAATTATGAAATAAATAATTTTATAAAAATTAGTTTTTCCCTTTTTAATAAGTTCCTGTGTGTAATTTTTAATATTTTCTTTATTATCTGTTATTTCGTGCGTATATTACTTACAGTTCAGTTAGTTGAATTTTGTGACATTATGTTTTAAATGTTGTAACATTTGAAATTTTACAGGATGGATTACCATTTGGACGCAACCTTGAGACGGGTTCCTAGCAAAGTTACGTCGAACTGTAACTTTGCCAGTTTCACAACAGTTTTGGATTCACTGGACGAGGGGCACACAAAGAAATTACGTCGATCATGCCTATGGCTCATGTATTCACTGCGATCTGTACAGTTCTCTGGACAATTGATCGATTCATTACTGTGTCGACTGCTTAAACCAGTTGACGGAGAGGCCCTCCACTTTGATCTTGCGGGCAAGGTTGCTACATTTTCTATATTCGAGTTTGTCCTCATTACTGAATTGAGATGTACAAGCGAAGAGGCAGCGAGCGCCAGTATTTCGACTGACAAGAGGTTGCTAAATGATTATTTTAATGGGCACACGACAGTAACACTGACGCAGTTAGGAGATGCATTTAGGGGATGCGACCTGATGTCTGACAAGTTAAAATTGGGGATGATATTTATACTAGAGAGCGTACTGAGGTGTCATCACAGGAAGACGTTGATTGACGTTTTTCATTTACAAGTTGTTGATGAAATCGATACGTTCAAAAACTATTCGTAGGGGGAGAAATGCTTTTGCGATACTTTACATGTCTTCAGGAGGGGGCATTCAATGCCTAGGGGAGATAGGTCGAAGCGTAAGTACTGTGTATATGGCCTGCCGTTAGCTTTGCAGGTAAATGTTTAACATAATGCGTTATCCATTTTTTTTATTAAATTGTACATATAATAATCGTAATTGTTGCAAATATGGGTCTACGAGACTGTTCCCATCCTAACTGGTCGGTATGCGAGGAGAGGGGATACATGCATCCCTTGGATGCACTGCTGCCGAGCACAAGACCTTGCAAAACAACTATCAGTTATCCTAAACGATTCTGAGATACGTATTATATATTTGCGCTCTCTGTTGTATATAATTTTCGAAGCTGGATACATGGTCAGTAATTCGATGAAATGTCAATATATTAGCTGGAAGTCCTCACTGAGCTGACACCATCGATCGATGAGGAGGATCAGACTTATATCCGTGAGTTGTTGACAGATCGTACTACTCGAGAGAGGCCTGAGTCCATCGTCGATCGGGACACGGTATGTTAATTGAATATAATATGTTGATTATCCTTATAAGTTTTTAATTAAGTTATTGATTTGTAATGTTTCTTTTTTAGGAGCGCCGTCGACTATCACCTCCGTCGAGGATGTCGCCTCTGCCGAGGGTGTCACCTCCGTCGAGGGTGTCACATTCCCTTAGGATGTCGCCTCCGTCGAGGGCGTCCCCTCACTACATGCGATCACCTCCGTCGAGAGTGTCACCTCCCTGCATGAGATCACCGTCTCCTGCATCCAGACACCTCCCACATGGATCAGCTGCACGTAGTCAGAGTGCTTCCATCGATGATATGTTCCGACTTATGATGGAGATCAGAGGCGACGTAGCTGGCTTACGAGGCAAAGTAGCTGACTTACGACGTGATGTTGGGATGGTACAGGTCGATTTAGTAGACCTTTATGCTGAGGTCGTAGGATACAGGGCGACATAGTAGGTCCGCGTGGGACTGGCGAGTATCGAGATGGAGGGGGTAGCGGAGGGATAGGCGGCTATCAGGAGGATGGGATGACAGAGGGACATGTAACTATTGGGGTAGAGGGATAGGTGGCTATCGAGACGGAAGGGGTGACGGAGGGGTCGGTGGTTATCAGAGTCGAGGAGGTCAGACGGGGTATGTTGACTCGTTGTGGGCATCGGATGATGCATTAACTTCATATCTCGATGACCCGATAGATACGGAGATGGAGGATCAGGCCCCAATGGAGGTCGGGAGGGTGTCGGAGGAGGAGGGAGTACCAGAGGCGGAGGTCGGGAAGGTGCCGGAGGAGGAGGGTGTACCCAAGGCGGCGATTGGAAGGGTGTCGGAGGTAGAGGTCGTCATGGCGTTGGAGGAGGAGGAGGAGGTCGTGAGGGTATCGGAAGAGGAGAGGGTGTTGGGTGCTGGAGGAGGAGGGGGTACCCTAGGCGGAGGTCGGGAGGGTGCCGGAGGAGGATGGGGTACCTGAGGAGGAGATCGTCAGGATGTCGAAGGAGGAGGGGGTACCCGAGGTGCCGGAGGAGGAAGAGGTATCCGAGGCAGAGAGGATACCATATCAGACGCCAGACTAGCCGGACATAGTTTTTGTGTCGCAGGGACGAAAGAGGTGGTCCCGATGGTAGGTGAGGGAGTATCGGATAATGGGAGGGTTTCGCGTACTGTTGATGTGCCGGAGCTGGTGGTCGGCAAGAGGCCGAGGGCACCATCACAGTACGTCGTTTCTCCGTTTACCACGGAGGCGAAAAGGAGGAGGTTCGTCGACGGCAGGCACCCGAATTTATTCAGGAAGGTGGACCATGCCAAATGGAAAGTGTTCGAGGCGGAGTGGAGATCACTTCTACCCGGGTAAGTATTGTATTATTCGTTAAGAATTAGTACATTACGCAGATGCTGACATATCTATATTTTTACTTAACAATTTCTTTTCTTATTTTTCAGAGTCAGTGGCAGGATTACTCATAAGACGATATCGGACGCTTAAAAGTGGTTTCACGACATCACAACTTCGGGGGCTTGGCTCGTCGATGATATAAGTGAAGTAGTAATATTCTTATTTATTACGTATACATATTTTTGCATTTTGCATTTATGAAATTAAATAACTCCCTTTTTAATTGGTGCAGCACATTGACTTCGCCATGGATTTGCTACGAGATCAAGCTGAACGACATCCAAGATCGTTCAACATTTCTGGCCGACTCATATTGAACATTGAGTTCATACGTGCCATTGATATTGAGTACCAGACATTGCAAGCTATGGGTAACGAGTACACGGTGCCTACATACATGATGGAGTGGATCGTAGGGATGTGGTCGAGTGTCGGGGGAAAGCCATGGGAGGGTTGTACGCATCTGTACATTCCGGTATGTGTCAATCATCATTACATTGCAATGAAAATTGTATTTGCTGACTTGACTATGTATGTGTATGACCCCGATCATTTATGCCTGACACAAGGTTAGCTCAAGCAAAATCTGGAGTCGGTGTCTGTGATCGTCCCCATGCTGGCTAGATGAGTGAACATTACTGTGCAGGACAGACTAGCTATCATGCGGGACACGACGACGGCGACACAGCAAATATCGTAAGTGTTTATTATTTTATTTTTTGTAATTTATAACTTACATTCTAGTTAGACAATGATGTGCTAATACAATATTTTGTAATTGTAGGGGTGATTGTGGCATATTCGCTATCAAGTACATAGAATTTTTGAGTGTAGCACAGAAGGTTGACGCAATCAACCAGGTGTGGATATAAAATTGGAGAAATAAATTAGCTTTTAATTTATTTGAATTCAATGGTGATCCGTAGATATTGAGTCATGTTTCTTTAAAATAATTATACATATTGTAACGTTTAAACATTGTATATTTCATTCATTCATTTGTAATTACGAAATAATTGTAAAACATATATTATTTTTTTAGTAATTAATTTTTTTTAGTTTATGTGTTTATTTAAATGTTTCATGACGTATTTATAATATTTGGGTATATTGTGGAGAACGCACTGAGTTTTAAAAAAGGATTAACTTCAAATATTACGCAACTAATTAATAAAATATTAAAATGAAAAAACTAAATCTAATAATTAACATAAAAAATATGCATGAATAATTAATATCAATGTTATAAATAATGTTATATAAATTTCAATTATACATCTGTTACGTTGTCATGCAGAGGGATCTGACTTGTACAAAATCTTCTAGTATATTCTGTTGCACCGCACCTGTCGCACTTACGAGTCTGGAAAAATTCTCCGGTCGATGGTATTCTGGACGTACATGTACGTCCAAGAGTACGTGGGCCAACTGCTGGTGGCAACAAGTTATTCAATGAGAGAATGTGATCAGGAACTTCTCACTCGACTTCATTCGGTACAGGAAATATGATTTCGACATATGCTGCTTTCCAAGAACCAGTCATGTAATAAGCACTGCATAAGATGTGTGGTGGAATTCCTCTATAGCCGCCACTGCATGTGTACACGGAAAACTCTCCAACTGAAACTGTCTACACGTGCACGTGTTATCATTCAAGTTGACGATGTATCCGAAATTACGTGCACATCTCGCGGAAAAGCGAAACTGATCTAGTGGTTCTACATATACCTTCATTGCCACCTCTAGAGTCTTGAAGAGTTTATCTTCCTGAGCCGGGGTTAGCACACTTGTGTAACTCTTTGATTCCTTACGATGATCATGAAACCACTATTGTAGCTTGTCATAAATTTTCTCAAGCATTGCGAGAATTGGTAACTCTCGATCCTTCTTAAATAGGGCATTAAGCGACTCTGTATTGTTCGACGTCATCATGTTGTATCGAAGTCCTAGAAAATGTGATCGTGCCCAATGTTCGATCCCCATCTTTGTCAGATACTCCCATGCATCATAGGATTTACTTTCGATTTCAACCATAAACTTTTCAAACTCTTGAAAACTGTAAGCCTCTGCGGCTTTGCTAAACTACGTAACGATGCCCTTGCCTCGATATTTGGTTTTCAAATTTCCTTGTATATGGTACATGTAATAACCATGATGTGCCTCGGGGAAGACTTCGGCGATACCGTTAATTATTGACTGCCCTCGGTCGGTTACGAATGCAAGGTTTTCGACATCCCCAATTACTTCCCTCAACTTCGTGAAAAATCAACGCATTGCCAAATCATTTTTTCCGTCAACTATGCCGAATGCAAGAGGGTAAATTTGGATGTTAACATCTTGACACGTTGCAATAATCAACTTGCCCCCGTATCTCGCCTTGAGGGTTGTACCGTCGACTGGAATTAAGGGTCATATTGCGTTTCGAAATTCTTGAACGCATTGTCCAAGGGCCATAGAGAAATACTTGAAGCAATTCTCGTCATCCTTTTCAATAAAAAATGTCGATTCAGTATTAATTTTTTCCATGTTATAGCAAAATCTGACCAATTAAATAAACAATAATCATAATTTAAATAATTAAATAAACAATATTAAAAAACTGAAAAATTAACAATTGAATTAAATAATTAATTACACATTAGATAAAGAATCGATAAATAATTAAATAAACAATTGAAATTAATACCTGGCCAATTTAGCATAACTCTCCTCGGTCGAATCCATCAAGTCCTCCAACACACATTCTTTGGCCTTCCAAGCCTTATGATAGCTCATGACCACCCCGTATTCTCGACGAACGTCATTAATAATGTCCGAAGATCTGTAGATTGTTCGTGGGTCCTGAAATTTGTGCATTACTTCTCGACTAATGAACCATGATCGGGCTTGCCTGTGATCATTTCGAAGAATACCCACTTCGCAAGTATGTTCTCGTGCATACTTACAAACCACAAAGAATTCATTCGCGTCCATTTTCATTGCACGCAAATGCCAAAGGCAACTGTCATTAATGCAGATAATTGTTTAAGTCGACTTGTTTGATTTCTTCACTTTAAACTCAAAATTGTGTTTCAAAGCAATCCGGTGAACAGCTTCCTGTAAATTTTTCTTCGTTTCAAACAGTTGCTCGACCAACAAATCTTCATCATCGGGGACTATACGCGAATAATTAGAGGACCATGCACTCGATCTAGCCTGTGAGCTCCCACTTGACGCATGTCTCAAACGGGATAAAGCAATCAAATTCTCATTTATAAAGTCATTATCTCTTTCATTGTCTTGAACTACTGAGCAAATTCTGTGTGTAAAGTGAGATCATGGTGAGGAGCAACTATCTCTGGAACAGCTATAGCATCATCACGCACTATTTTCACTATGTCCCAAAACTCATTCACATTACGATCCCTTCCATCGAAATCTTCCTGTTCACTCTCGAGGACATTCTTCTTCATTAAAGTTAAGCAAATAGGAATCGCACGTTTCTGGTTCATTTCAATTAAAACCTTCATTTCAACTTTAGAAGTAACCGTTATATGTGGAATTGAAATAGATGTATTCTCGTCCATTAGAAATCTCAATTCCATGGCGTACTCAGAGGGATCGACTTTCAACAAGTTCTGTATCTCATTGTATATTTCTGCATATGATGTACTGGATGTTATTACAATTGCAGTACAACAATGTCTTTCACTCGTCCATTTCCACACCCATTGATCATTGTCATTATTTTCAAATTCACCAAAGTAACAAATCGGGACAGCAGTTGATCCCATAGCTGCATTAGGAAACATCATTTATTAAAAAATTGTAATTACGAGAATAAAAGGATAAAAATAAATATGACACAAGGAAAGAAAAAAAATGACGTTAACAGTCGGCCCGGACAGTCCGGCCAGGCTGTTAACAGCTGGCCTGGACAGTCTGCGCAGGCTGTTAGCTGCTTGCCGAGATCCGGGCCGCCTGCTATCTTCTACATTTTGCATCCGAACAGATGAATTTTTTTCCTCATTTTTTTAAAAAAATTATACATCCATTTACGACTGTAAAATTTCATTTTTCTAAAATTATATGTTGAAATAAAATTTAAATATTCAAACAATGTACTAATTTAACTAAAATGAAATTAAACATACCTATTTATACTTACCAATTTCAAGTGCCAACTGTGAGTAATATTTTTTTGTTGAGCTTTTGATAATTTTTTGAGATTTCAATGTTCAAGCAGATGGAAGAGGAAATTTCTTTTTAACTGTGTTGAAAAATCTGATAAGGAAAGTGATTTCATTTTGAGATTTAAGTGAGATTGTTTGGATCTATTAATTTTTTAAAGAAGGTGTTATTGTCTTTTGGGCAAATGATATATTTTTGTAATTACAACACATAATAAGGGCAAAAATGATATTTATTCTTCAAAAGACCTTTTTGGTAAATGGCAAAAAAAGTTGGTCAATTTGAAAATTTGGTGTTTTGACTTGGCTATTCTAAAAAGTACCCCATATGATTGTCCCATTTTCACTTGTTGAACATGATTATGCCTCACCTTATTGTGGTTGCCCTGACTTCATAATGTGCAATTGAATAATTTCTTGTGCTGTTTTATGGAAATACAATTGAATTGAGTACTGTATAGTTGTGCATTACCTCTAAGGTTGCAAAAATTTGGGATGCAGCAACAGCTACCTTGTCATTGCGAACATTTAACTATGTTCTAGGATGAACCATGTACGTCCACAACTAATTCCAAACCCATCTGTTGGCCTACACTATGTTTTTGCAACATTCTGGTTATGCTGCGGTTGAATGTGGAATTGTATGACCTCGTTTTCTTTTTTCCTTTGTGTCCTACGCATATTTTGTCCCACTTTAATTTTGCACTTGAAATTGATATTATTTACCACATGCAAGAGAACCCAAAGTATGGAAAGTTCAAGGACAATGATAACAAAGAAATTTACCATTCTTAAAGCTAACTATTCGACGACAGTAATGACTCCACAAAGTATTCTATAACACCTACAAAAATTTCGCAATACGGTTTGGATTTGGGCTTGGACATCGACACGGAGTTGCCTAACAACAGGCTACCAATCAATGCTAAGATGACGGACTCCAATGATGGGCCTGTAGAGGACATAGTGAACTTGTATATGAATATTTTCCTTGGGCGAAGCGAGAAGAAGCATAAGGCTAGGCATGCGAAGGGAAAGGGAAAGAAGAAGAAGTTCGAGGCAAGAGAAGTGTCAGAGTCTGTTGACAACTTGGCGACTGCGTCAAGGGAATTTGCCTCGGTCCTTTGTTCTAGGGACAAGGGCGTAATGACCATTTTCGGAGTGTGTAAATGACTTGCTTTCCACGGGCCTCATCGTAAGTGGTGACGAGCTCCATTTGTTTGCTCTATGGTTTTTTAAGGACAATGACAATCGAATTGCATACAGTG